GAAAAAGAAGCAGAAGCCTTCAAGAGGTAATCTAGGCCACATTGAGGAAAATAGATGGGTAGTTTTCTATAGTGAGTGATATTTATGTTTTATATAAAAAAGCAAAGCAGCCAAGTCACTAGAGAGCTCTTACCTCTAAGAAGTTCTCAGAATGAAAGAGGAGTTTCTGTCTCATCCTGGTTTATATAGTGCTCTCTAGTACTGGGATTAAAGGTGTGAGCCACCACCACCTAGATCTGTTTCTGCATTGATCTTGTGTAGCCCAGGCTGGCCTTGAACTCACAAAGATCCAACTGTCTCTGTCTCCCAAATCCTAGGATTAAAGGTGTATTTCACCAGTGCCTGGCCTCTAGTGGCTTAGTTTTACTTTTTGATTTTCAGACAAATTTTATTTGTAAAAATAAATAAAATATCACTATAGTTCTTCTTTCAGAACACTCCCACAGCCCTCACAAACCTCAAATCTTGTAGGTTTGGCACGGCAGTGATTCCTTTGTTGGATGGGTCAGCAGTGGAGAGGAAAACATTTTACCACTCTGTAAGACTTCATTGCAGTGGACTAGTGTCATTTTAAGAAAACTTAAAAACTGAACTACCCTGGGACAAGAAAACAGGAAACAACCACAAACCAGGGATCCTAAATTTAACATGCCTCAGCTCCAGAGTGAGTGACAACTCTGGAGGGAGTTGCAGGGGGTAGAATAACTGGGTACTAACAAATCAAAGATGACAACAAGCTCACCTCAGTAAGGCTAACAGGGAAAATGTCTTCTCCCTTAGTGGCCAGAAACAGAGCTCACCTATGAATAACCCTGGAGTATGATAGTTCTGAGCTGCATGTCAGTGGATAAAACAACTTCTGGGACCACATACTGCCATTCACTGCTCTAGTGTCTGAGAACTCAGAAGCTCCAGGGCTCTACTTGAAATTCATGGCTGCATCCCTTCATCATGGTGATACATAGGAAAACACAAAGACATATCTTTCTCCCTGTTACACTTAGTGCTGTGACTGTTTCCCATACTTCTAGCACACTTGGGAGACATTCTCTAAGTAGAAAATTAGTCATTTCAGAAATTCCAATCCGAGGACTATTAGGCAGGTGGGAGAACCTGTCCAGCCCATAAACTGTAAAGTTAAGGGTGGCCAGCAGAGAACCCTATTATACAAAGAAAAAAACCTATGAAAGTGAAAAAGAAGTTTTCAAATATTATTAGGAGTTTCCAATATCGATTTAACAACAACAAAAACGCAGGAATAATAAAAGTTGGCATGATACCACCTGCCTAATACTCCTCAAATTGTACCCTTTCGTGTTCATCTATTTTTGTTTGCACATATTTTTCATTATTGAACAATCTGTTTTTCTTTCTGACCCCTATGCTTTCACATCTCCTTTTTTTCTATACTCTTTGTTAGTATTATGATTTTGCTTACTGGTTTTTTTTTAACTCTTAACTTTATTTACTGTGTGTATATGATGACTGCAGGTTCACATGCCACAGTGCATGTGTGGAAGTCAGAGGACAACTTTGTAAAACTTACTTTCTCCTTTTACCCTTATATTCCAGGGGTTGATCTTTGGCTGTCAGGCTTGTATAGCAAGCATATTTGCCTGCTGAGCCATCTCATCAGCCTAACTCTAATGTTTTTATGTTTTAGTCCTCTTCTTACATTTGCCTATTTTTGTATTCCAGCTTTCTCATATTGGGTAATCTTTGTTCTTTTGGGATTTTTTTTTCTTTTATTTGTTTTAACCTATTGCTCTTTTCTCCTTCCCTCCATAACAATATCTATTTTTTCCTTTCTTTTCTTTTACCTAACTTCCTATTTTTCCTCTTTCTTTATCTTCTTCATCTCATTCATTTACTATTTCTATACATACACTAAATAAGTTTTAATTTAATAGAAAACTTTATATGATGTCTATTCTTGCTTGTCAACTTGACTACTTCTGGAATTATCTAAAACCCAAAAATGGAGGACACAGCTGTGAGGGATTTTTGCTTAATTTGAAGTAGAAAGCTCCACTTCTAATCCAGATTTTTTGAAGAAAGAAGATAGGCCTTTAGTCCAGATCTTTTGAACTGGGAAAAGACAAATCTTTAATCCCGATCTTGAGGTAGGAAAAGACTCAGAAGATGTGTATGAAGAAAGCTTTTGCTGTTTGCTTGCTTTCTCTCACCTTTCTAGCAAGTCCATTCCTTCACTGGCATTAGAGTCTACTTCTTCAGGATTCCAGCACAGACTGAAGATCAGCTGAGACATTCAGCCTTGTGGACTGAGAAACTGCTGGATTCTTGGACTTTCCATTTACAGTCAGCGATTGTTGGATTAGTTGCACTGCAACCTGTAAATCATTCTAATAAATCTGCTTTATCCCATAAGTTCTGTTACTCTAGAGAACCCTGACTAATATACATAATTGGGCTATTGGCTATTTTATGGTAATTGGTAATGAATTAATGTGTTCTAATCAACTTAAATATATTTCTATATTGTATACAGTTTGTTGTTGTTTCTATTGCATTAGTTCATTTTAACTCCCTTAGCTGTACTAAATAATGAACCCTCAAGAGTAGGCTGCTCAATAAGAAGATTTCAAAATAGAACCCAAAGGAATATCTAAGTCAACAAATGTGTAAATCACAACACAGAAACACAAGTATTATGAAAAACTAAGGCAACATGACTCCTCCAAAAGTCCTTAACTACTGAATTCAACAGGTAAAGTGCCAGATAATGATTTCAAAGTTTACTAGTAAAAATTATCAGTGTCTTCAATGATGCTGCATGCAAGGAAATGAATTACATCTAGTACATGGAAAGGAAAGTCAGAAACATAAAGGTGAGGAAAATTAATTAGACAGTAAACAATATGGATGAAAAAGCCAATGTGATAAATCACCAAGAAAATGGAGATTCTGGAAAAAAAACTCAAAAATGTTGTAAAGTCTAGGATATAATGAGGATACCAAACCTAAGAATCTTCAGAATAGAATTATCTGAAATAAAAGCTACAAACATAAATATGCTATGTAATAAAATTATAACAGAAAGTTCCCCAAATCTAGAGAAATGGTTATCCAAACATAAGAGACATTTTATCCTAAACAGATATAAGGAGAAAAGAATGTTTCCATGACATATCATTACCAAGATGTCAAAAATATGAAGCAAAGGGGCTGATGAGCTCAGTAGTTAGTAGCACAGGCTGTTGTTTCAGAGGACCTGGGTTCAATTCCCAAAACCTGCATGGATGCTTACAACCTTTTGTAACTTCAGCTCCAGGGGATCCAATACTTTCCTCTGACCTCAGACACCAGACATATAAGTATTAACCATACATGTGTATAGAAAAATAACCCATACTCAAAAATATTAAACACCAAAGTTCATTTTTAAAAGAATACCAAATAAATGTATACCAAACAAAGAATTATTAAAAGGTATCAGGAAAAACACCATTATGGTTAACTCTTCATTGTCAACTGAGTTTGGATAAAGGATTTATTTCAGAGGTTATTAATATTTTTGCAACATTGAAGATTGAATCCAGGACCTCACACACACTAGGAGAGTGCTTTTGTCCCTGAGCTACACCTTGGCCTGACTTAACTGGATTTGGAATCATCATATAAACACATGTATATGAAAAGTTTAACTGGAGAGAGAAGACTGACCCTAAGTGTAGGTGGCACCATTCCACGGGTTAGGGAAATAGACTGAATAAAAACAAGGAAGTGAACAAATCATCAGTATTTGTCTTTTTCTGCTAATTGACTATGGGTGTAAAGTGACTAGCTGCTTAATGCAAATAGCTTCCTCCTGCCACCATACCTTCCCCAATATGATGGCATGTATGTCCTCAAATTGTGATCCAAGATGAACCCTGCCTTAAGTTACTTTTGTCAGATATTTTATTACAGAAATGAAAAAAGTAACCAATACAAAAACCAATTCACCTATAAAGGTAAACATATCATAATGACATCAGATTTATCTTTAGCAACTTTAAAATCCAGAAGCACAGAAAGTAAATATCTGTCATCTAAGATTTCTGTACCCAGCAAAACTACCTTTTGAAGTTGATGGGTAAATAAAGACATTCCAAAATGAAAATTTCTCCTTACCATTCTAGTGGCTTTCTTATGTTGTCTCACTAATTTTTGTTTGAAGTCTACTTTATCAGATATAAGAATAGGTATGCCAGCTTGCTTTTAGTTTTTATGTGCTTAGCAGGTTGATTTTCATCCTTTGCCATTCAAATTGTAGGTATTTGTGCCAGTAACAAGAAGCTTCTTGAAAAAAGATATCCAATACTTACTTGGATCTTGCTTCTTAATCTTTGGTGAGTCAAGGCTATTTGCATTGAAGACTATTCTTGGAAGACGATTACTCATTTTTATGATTTTGTTCTTTGATTTTCTGATTTGGTTGAATTGTTTCCTTCTCCCTTATTAGTACTTGGGTTTGCTTGTTTACTTAAGGATCACCTGATCATTTCAATAGATGCATGAAACACTTTTTTAAAAGTTCAATATAAAAAATCCTTCAATATCCACTCACGATAAAAATCTCTGAAGGAACTGGGAATAGTATGAACATAATTTTACATGATAAAGGCTGTATATAATAAGCCTATAGACATTATGATACTAAATGTTGAAAACCTAAAGCATTCTTGCTAAAGTCAGTAACAAAACAAGGGTGCTCACCCTCTTCATTCTTATTCAATATAACAATAAGTCTCAGCTAAATCTGTAAGGTAAGATAATAAAAGAATACAAATAGAAAATTAGTCAGATTATCCCTATTTGCAGATAACATCCCATATTTCAACAACTGTAAATGCATCAGTGAAAAGCTCTTAGAACCAATAAATATTTTCTGCAAAGTAGCAGGGCACAAAATATACTGGCTAGTTTTATGTCAGCTTGATATGAGATAGAATGATTTAGGAAGAGGGATCCTTAATTAAGAAAATACCCCGGCTTCCGTTTCTGGTTTTCCTCCAGTGTTTGGGTTTCTTCGCCGCCAGCCAAGATGAACCAATTCTTCGGAAAAGCGAAACCTAAGGCTCCGCCGCCTAGCCTGACTGACTGCATTGGGACAGTGGATAGCAGGGCAGAATCCATTGACAAAAAGATTTCCCGGTTGGATGCTGAGCTAGTGAAATATAAGGATCAAATGAAGAAGATGAGAGAGGGTCCTGCCAAGAACATGGTCAAACAGAAAGCCCTGAGGGTTTTAAAGCAAAGGCGGATGTATGAGCAGCAGCGAGACAACCTTGCCCAGCAGTCCTTTAACATGGAGTAGGCTAACTACACCATTCAGTCTCTGAAGGACACCAGGACCACGGTGGATGCCATGAAATTGGGAGTAAAGGAAATGAAGAAGGCATACAAGCAAGTCAAAATTGAACAGATTGAGGATTTACAAGACCAGCTGGAAGATATGATGGAAGATGCAAACGAGATCCAGGAAGTCCTGGATCGCAGCTATGACACCCCAGAGTTAGACGAGGACAACCTGGAAGCGGAGTTGGATGCGCTGGGTGATGAGCTTCTGGCTGATGAAGATAGTTCCTACTTAGATGAAGCAGCATCTGCGCCTGCAATTCCAGAAGGTGTTCCCACTGACACAAAGAACAAGGATGGTATGAAAGGACATCTCTTGGGTATATTCCCAAGAGTGGAATTGCTGGGTCTTGAGGGAGGTTGACTCCCAGTTTCCTGAGAAACCGCCACACTGATTTCCACAGTGACTGCACAAGTTTGCATTCCCACCAACAATGGATGAGCCATTCCCCTCTCTCCACATCCTCTCCAGCATAGGCTATCATTGGTGTTTTTGACTTTAGCTAATCTGACCGGTGTAAAATGGTATCTCATAGTTGTTTTGATTTGCATTTCCCTGATCGCTAAGGAGGTTGAGCATGACCTTAAGTGTCTTTTGGCCTTCAGAGTTCTTCTGTTGAGAATTCTCTGTTCAGATCAGCACCCCATTTTTTAATTGGGTTAATTAGAGTTTTATTGTCTAGTTTCTTGAGTTCTTTGTATATTTTGGAGATCAGGCCTTTGTCTGATGAGGGGTTGGTGAAGATCTTCTCCCAGTCAGAAGGTAGCCTTTTTGTCTTACTGACAGTGTCCTTTGCTTTACAGAAGCTTCTCAGTTTCAGGAGGTCCCATTTATTCATTGATTCTCTTATTGTCTGTGCTACTGGGGTTCTACCTAGGAAGTGGTCTCCTGTGCCTATGTCTTGTAGACTACTTCCCACTTTCTCTTCTGATTAATAGAATGGTTATTTATTCAAAGGGGAAAAAACTTACAGATTACCGTCCCAGACAACAGCCCCTCTGTGCGAACAGGAAAGGAGTCTAGGAGCCGGAAGTGGAGCCAGAAGCCAGAGAGAGAGAGAGAGAGAGAGAGGAGGACAACTGTTGCTTTTTGTAAAGAGGGAGAGACCATACCCCAATGGGCTGGTAACTCAGCAGAAATTGGCTGAAGGAGCGGAAGGAGCTCCCACAGCAACAAGCGACTTGATTATAAAGGGGATCCCAGGTCCAAGGAGAGATCCCCAGATTGTTCTCTGGACAGAGGAGAGGGTGCCTGAACTGGCCTTGGCCCATAACCATACTGATGAATATTTTGCATATCACCATAGTACCTTCATCTGGTGATGGATGAAGATAGAGACAGAGACCCACATTGGAACACTGGACTTAACTCCCTTGGTCCAAACGAGAAGCAGAAGGAAAGAGAACGTGAGCAAAGAAGGCAAGACCAGAGGGAACCTTCACCCGTTGATGGATGGAGATTGAGACAGAGAACCACATTGGAGCACTGGACTGAGCCCCCAAGGTCTAAATGAGGAGCAGAAGGAGGGAGAACATGAACAAGAAAGGCGGGACCGTGAGGAGTGTGTTCACCCACTGTTACAAGGGGACTGATCTAATGAGAGTTCACCAAGGCCAATTGGACTGGGACTGAACGAGGACGTGATCCAACCAGATTCTCTGAATGTGGCCGGATTTTCTGAATGTGGCTGGCTCGGGGTCTTTCTGAAAAGCCATTGACAATGACACTGGGACTTGTTTTCTCTGCATATACTGGATTTTTGGGATTCAGTCTGTTTGGATACTCACCTTCCTGGACCTGGAGGGAGGGGGGAGGAACTTGAATTTCCCACAGGACAGGAAACCCTGACTGCTCTAAGGGATGGAGAGGGAGGAGGAGAGGGAGTGGGGGGAGTGGGAGGGTGTTGGGAGGAGGGGCGGAAATGGAAACTTTTATAAATTAATAAACTTTTATAAAAAAAATCAGAAGCCTTAGTCAAGCGGTGGTGGAGCATGCTTTTAATCCCAGCACTTGGGAGGCAGAGGCAGATCTCTATCCATTCAAGGCCAGCCTGGTCTACAAGAGCTAGTTCCAGGGTGGTCTCAAAATAAAAATAAAAATTCAGAAGCCTTTCATATACTATAATGAGACTGTTGAAAATGGAGTCAATATGGAAAAATACTCATTCAATATACAAAAAATGAATAAATAAGAAATATAAAACTAAACAAGGAGGGACAATATGATGAAAGCTTAATCACTGAAAAGAAATTGAAGACTAAAGTAGAAGATGAAAAGATTTCTCATACTTGTTGATTGTCAGAAGTAATATTGTGAGGATGATTATATCATTGAAAGTGGTCCTTAGGGAGTTAAGGGAGGGACCCAGAATATCACCATAGAATGTTCATCCAGAAACTGAGGGAAACAGAGGCAGAAACCCACATCGGATCTCCCAAAGTCCAATGGAAGAGTGGAAGGAATGAGAATATGAACAAAGAGGTAAAGACCATGATGGGTTCACCCACTGAAATAGTTTACCTGAGCTGATAGGAGCTCACCAACTCTAGCTTGACTGGGAAGGAACAAGAATAGGACCAAACTAGTCCATCTGAATGTAGTTGACAAAGAAATCCTATGTTCTACCCTCAACATTGGGAAAAAAAAACAAAAAGCTCAAGTCCTTTTAGAACTGAATGTACTTGCGCATGTCTGTAATCCCAGCATTCAAAAGACTGATGCAGAGGGATTGTTGTTGAGGTGAGCCTAAACTACAGAATGAGATCCTGTCTTAGTTTTTAAAGAAGTCCTTATAGAGTTTGCATTAAAAGTTGTTTTAAAATTAGATTAGCATTGCAAATATTACTTGTACTCATACAGTGTCAGAGCTTACTTCTGATGTTAATATTTTCACTGTAATGACAAAATCTTGCCTGTTGTCTTAATCTTAATGATTATTGTTGCCACTTGACAATGACTAAGTCCCAACAAAATTGGGATAGCTAATTGCCAAGGCACATTTCCTGAAATAATGGGGTAAATGTTTTGTACATCAAAGAAAAGTGAAAAAAAAACCTCTATGCAAGTAACTGGTTTAAAAAGAAGATAATACTTTTGCCAGAATCTGGCTCATTTATTTTAGAAGGATGAAGCTTTATCATACTTTTGAGTCCTTGGACTACTAGAGGTGCCTCACTGTGATTAAGACTTTTTCATATTACAATATTGCTATTTCACTGTGATTTGCTGACTTTATTCATACAATTGAGGTCCTTGAAACTTATCTTCAGTATACTTTAGGTGGGAAATATCCTCTATATCCTTGTGCTTATGATAAATATACTTAATAAATCTTATATTCTCAATGGGAGAGCCTCATGGCTACGTCTGGAAAGCAGTTTTGAATACTGGATAAATAGGGTTTGTTGTAAGTGGTGGCTTTTTCATTTCCTGGCTGTTCAGACTCCTGAAATAACCACATAGAAACTGTACTAATTAAATCACTGCTTGGCCTATTAGCTCTAGCTTCTTATTGGCTAACTCTTACATCTTAATTTAACCCGTTTCTATTAATCAGTATTGCCACCTGGCAAAGCATAGATAAGAAATATGGGTTAATTTAAATGTAACAGTTAGTTAGTAGTAAGCCTGAGCTATCAACCAAACATTTATAGTTTATATTAAGTCTCCAAGTCAGTTATTTGGGAAGAAGCTGTCAGTTATTTGGGAGCAGGCAGTTGGGACAGGAAAACTCTTGTCTACAACCTTTAACCGCAGTGGCAGAGCCAGTGCCTGTGGGAAAAGAATTCCCACCAGGTTGTGACCTGAGTGGCTAGGTTGCTGCCAGAGAAACAGGCCAGTGATTGCAGAGTCTCAGTTGCTGGCTTAAATAGCAGTAGATTAAGGCATAGCCACTCTGCCGAAGCTAAAATAATAAATAAATATGAACAGAGCACCAGTGAGATCTGCAATACCATGAAGCATAACAACATGCACATAATGGGAGTTCCAGGTAAGAGAAGAAGAAATGCAGTAAAAAAATCCCCAAATTTGGGGAAATCTATGAATACATGCATTCAAGAAGCATAAATAGTAAAAGAATTCCAAGTGTAATATATCAAGATTGATCTTCATTTAGACAGTCAAAATACTTAAACACAATGAAAGAGTATTAAAAATGACAAAATAGAAAATTATGTGTCACATACAAGAGGCCCTCAGTAAATATTCACAGATAAATTGTCAGAAACTACAAAGGCCAGGATGCAGTGTGATGGTACTTTCTAGATTTTGAGGGTGGGGATATCAGTGAAGAATCTTATATTTAGGAAAATTATTCTTCCAAAATGAAGATTAGAAGACATTCCCAGGAATAAAATTAGAGAGCCAGATGTGGTTGTCCACACCTGTAGCCCCAACTTCTTGAGAGACTGAGGCAGGAAGACTGCTTAGTTCCAGGACTTCTAAACTATGGCAATCAGGAGTCCCTACTACATTTATTACACTTTATTCTTCTGCTCAGAAAATAGCTACATAAAGAAGGAATTATAGAATATATTTATGAATATATACTATATGTATACTTACACATAAAATATGTAATTTTGTATAACAATAATAGCAAAAAAAGTGAGGAATGGAACAGAAATGTATTTGAGCAAAGTTTTTCTAATACTATTGAAATAAAATTTGAATCAAAACTAAAGGAGAGGATGGAGATATGATTCATAAGTTAAAAGTGCTTAATGGCCAGGCAGCGGTGGTACACATTTTTAATCCCAACACTTAGGAGTCAGAGGCACGTGGATCTTGTTGAGTTTGAGGCCAGCCTGGTCTAACAGAGCTAGTTCCAGGACAGCTGGGGCTACAGAAAGAAACTCTGTCTCGAAAAAACGAAAACAAAACAAAAGAGTACTTAGTGTGCATGCATAAAGTTCAGATTCCAGTACCAAGCTGGAAGTGGCCCTACACAAACCTATAACCCCAATACTAAAGTAGGTAGACCCTGGAGGGTCACTCGGGCTTATTGGTCCCTAACTTGGCTTCAGGTTCAATGAGAGAACCCGTCTCTATGGAATAAGTCAGAGAGTAATAATAGAGTAGGACATCTAACATCATCCTCTGGCCTTTGCTGGCACACAGACATGTAAAACAACCCCTCATATGTGTGTATACCACACACACGCACACACGCACATGTGCACAGACTCACACATATGCATATATGCACAAAAATCAGTTATTCTAAGTTGTTAATTAAAATTACCAGGTGGAAAAAGAAACTATTTTGAAAGTATAGTCAAGAAACAGAAGAGTTGCTTTTTCGCAACGGGTTTGCCGTCAGAACGCAG